GATTTTAATTTGCCTCAGTACAAGGATTAAATTAATCCTTGTACTGAGGCAAATTAAAATTGTAGAACAAAAAGGTTGCAGATTTGAAATTTTCGGAACAAATTTCGCAGTTTTTGTTAGGCCAAAAACCTGGAACCAGTCTGAATTTACTAAAGACATCCATCTCGTGCCAAGTAAATGTCATAATTCAATCATCTTAAGCGCTTGTACGCTGTGCATAGATGAGTCTAACTCTTGGTAACCCGCACATGAAGAGCGAACATCCTCAGAAAAATACTGCTTTCTGCTCATTCCGGTTGCCGAGCTAACGGGTGCTAACAGCAACCAGAACTAAATGTTCAGTTCGGGCGCGCGTGAGACATAGGCGTGCTTTAAAGTTTAGAATGAAATATTTGGGTCGCATGCGGGCATAAAATATCTCCATAAAGTTTCAGCTCCCTAGCATTTCTGATTGACAAAATTGCTTTTTTGTTACGCAAAATTTTTAGCGTACCGGAACTCGCTACACAGGCTGCTAAAGCTCATTTTATGCCTAAGAGGTCTCCATTTATGGAAAGTAGACACAGGTAAAGCTAGAACGCTCCAGTTAACTTAGCTCCTGGATTAACATTTTGCCAGCGATAGCAAAATCTCTAGTCTGACACATTTGTACGCGAGACGTATATGTGCGTTAAAGTTAAGTCTGAAATCATTAGCTCACACGAGAACATAGAATATTCCTGTGAAGTTTTAACTTTCTATCTTGTCTGGTTACCGAGATCGCTTTTTTGTGAAGAAATTACTTATTGTGCATTTTGTGCAAACAGCAGCACAAAACTCATATTGTCATTTGTCTGCGTGTATTTTTGTGTGTGTGTGTGTGTGTCCCCCACATTTGGTCCCGCACGTTCAACTCGGGGACCACAAAAGCCACGTGGCAGAAATGTTAGTATAGTTTTTCCCGCCAAAGTTTGAAGCGGCAAATCTAAATTCATCCTTCTTTTACTCGCTGGTAACACGTATGGCCCCGTAAAAGTTTTGCCAGGCAAAATCATTACCTCGGGAACCAGGGAAGTTAGGAATCTGAAATTTTATGGTTATGCCCCCTGATAACACGCGACCCAGAAAAATCAAATTCAGTCTTCCTGCACCCACTGGTAACACGTACGGCCTTGTAAAAGTTTCGGCAAGGAAAATTATTATCTTGGGAATTACGAAAACTGGAAACCTGAAGTTTTGTAGATAAGTCTGCCCACGTGCGACCCAGAGAACTCAAATTCAACTTTCCGTGTCTGCGGGTAGCGCATACGGCCTAGTAAAAGTATTGGATGGTAAAGTCATTATCTCAGGAACCGTGGAGGCTAGGGAGCTGAAATTTAATGGGTAAGCCCTTTGACCCTGTGTAACCCAGAGAATTTAAATTCAGTTTTCTCATGCGCTTGAGTATCGCGTACGGCTCCGTGAAAGTTTTAGTGGGAAATTATCTCGGAAACCATGAAAGCTAGGAAGCAGAAATT